TACGTACGTACGTTACGTTACGTTACGTTAGTTACGTTAGTTACGTTACGTTAGTTACGTTAGTTACGTACGTACGTACGTACTACGTACTACTACTACTACGTACGTACTACTACGTCTACTACTACTCTCTCTCTCTCTCTCTCTCTCTCTCTCTCTCTCTCTCTCTCTCTCTCTCTCTCTTTTCCCCTATTATGTTCATGTTTGTCTTCATAAACATTCACATGCATTCATTTATACATGCTATTCATGTGTGTACGTCATTGACTCTTCCTAATCGTGAGAGATGTTGAGTAACTTGAGTTTGATGAGACTACTCCTCCTCAGATGCAATATGGGGAAGATAAGTTCAATTTAAGATCTTCTGGCATCCTGTCTTTCATTTTTGAGTTGTTGAGTGCCTTGCCATCTTCTAGCTGATTCTTTTCCCTAAAAGAGATGGGTTCAATGGAATCCTCATGCCACAAAATATATGCCCAAATTGTGGCCTAGTGCTAACTAATTGGAAGGTTCAAGAAAATCAGGAAGATGAAATAAATGCATAAGAAAATCACAAGAATGGTGTAATAAAAGATGAGAATAATGCTCATTGAATAGCCATTACTTGATTAACAATAGTTGTCAATGAGTTATTTGGAAAGTGGTCCAATGGAACAGTAAATCTTGTGCCTTTCTCCTTTACCTTTATGAAAGTGAGACTCATAAAGGTCAGGGAAAAACAACCACCCAAAAGAAGGGTGTAATAATAGTGCGATGTATGATCACCTGTGAGTCCTCGAGGATGGGAAGCACAGGGATGATTCTAGTGTGAAAGTAACTCTGTCTGTGTATCCCTTGATAATGAAGGATGCATTTGTGATGCATTTTCTTGGGCTTGAACAAAGGATGAATTCCTACTTACGGAAAATACGCATTTGACCATTATGTGATGTTTCTTTCTTGAAACTCCAGTATATGCAATTATGTATCCATGGGGAATGGTCAAAGTTACTAATTCATGTATTCTCCCCCTCGGAGCCATTGATCGGACAAGGTGACTTGCCAAATGTTAAATGGGGAACCATTGTTTCAATGTAGCCTTGGAGTCCAGCAGATGTTCTTGAGGTGATTTCATGGATGTCTTCCTCATTAAAACTCTCTTGCGCATGTTCTGAGGAAGCTAACGATGTCACTGATTAACTTCCATGATCTTTGCCATGGTTGTTATGAAGCCTATTGCTTTGGATTTTGTTTCCTGCCTTGTTGGAAACAGTATTATGCTAATTTGAACGCTGTCCCTATTTCAATAAAGTTAATCAATAGTATTCTTTCAATAGAAAATCAGTATGCTCTGTAAGTTCAAATTGAAGTTTTGGACAAGTTTGTTAAAGGTCATAGGAACATCTATTGTAAAAATTAGGTACCATATGTGAATAAGCTAAGGAAAAAGTTTGTATAGCGTGTCAGCTTTATACTGTAGAAGTAAGTGCACCTAGAAAATCTACCCAAATAGTTTGGTCCGACATCAAAAGATCCTAGAATTAAATCATCTTGACCTCAAGAAATATGTATATGTATAAAAAAGGATTTAAAGTACTAAAAGTAGTGCATCTTGTAATACATCATTTAGACCGTCCATCTCAAAATTTTTATGAGTGTATAGATCTGCTTGATCTATACCTTTTTTTTTAGCTTAATTTCATAATTAAGGGTGAAAATAGATTTTTCAGATTAAGGGTTCTCGGCACCGAAACTGCATATTTTACCAATGTGGACCTAGTGGAATTTTACTGGGTTGACACCTTATATAAATCACATGCATAAAATAAACCTAGTGGAATTTTACTGGCTTCATTGGACGAAGTCCTTGATCATACTTGTGAATCTCAGATCTCTTTAACTTTTTGGGATTTGTGATGCTGCGGCATTTGATATCAATAAAATTGCAATATATCATAGGCTTAGTTGTTACATGATAGTTACCGGTGAGGATGGATATAGTGCTCCAACGAAAGAATAATCCAACTGTAATTCATCATCATCCAAGCCATATCCCAATTATTTGGGGTTGGCTAATAATCCAACTGTAATTGCCTATGCTAAACCTTTCTATTAGATATTGTAGATTTGATTGTCTGTAGTTGATGACATTGTTTCTTCCATTAAAAAATGTTACAGGTCCTTCTGAGGGGGGGTTCTCAGGAAGAACTAAAGAAGGTGAAAAAAGTGCTTCAATATGCAGTCTTTGCAGCCTATCACCTGTCGCTTGAAACCTCTTTCCTTGCAGATGAGGGTGCAACTATTCCAAAACTTCCTTTCCAATCTCCAATTGCTATCCCAGAAAAGCTGAGCAACATAGATAAATCTGTTTCATATGTTCTTAGTTCTGCAACCCCTTTTGTTTGTGAGGCAGTGATGGGAAAATATGAGGTCCTCAGTGGACACACTGATCTAGTGATGTCCCATCCTGAATCTCCAGTGTGCCATTCAGCTCAAGTTGAGAGGAGTCCAAGTCCTAATTTTGATTTTGATGGAAATGAGTCAGGAAGTGAACTTGTGCATTCTGGTCCTTTGTGTACTTCTCCCAAGGTTTTAGACTTTGCAAGAGTTCATCCATGTGATATTCCGAATGATGCAGATATAGGATCATCACATGACGATTTGGAGGGTTCTTTGTTAGACCAAGAGATCTCCACTGAGTATTTCCCAACTTCTCGCAACACTCATCAGAGTATCTTGGTCTCATTGTCAAGCCGTTGTGTATTAAAGGGAACAGTATGTGAACGGTCTCAGCTTTTCCGAATCAAGTTTTATGGAAGCTTTGATAAGCCATTGGGGAGGTACCTCCGTGATGATTTGTTTGATCAGGTATCATTCTATGGGAAAGTATGGTGTAATCCGTTTGATTCTGGAAAACCTGTCATCAGCGTCCATGGAAATGACAGATGGTCTGAAGAGAATTGGACCTACCAGCAAAAGAAATTACCCATATAATGGTCCCAGACTCTTTGTCTCTACCTGTCATTTCATTGGAGAGCAATCCGATGGACTGTGTTTTTGTCATGGTCCGTTGGATTATATGATACTTCTCTTTTTTCACCTCTCATTCTTCTTTTCCTTTTTGGGTGTAATTGATCACTGCTTGCTTGGGGACTGAAGTGGTTCTGCTGTGTTATTTATTCTGATTTATCATTGAAAGTAGACGATTCATATAGCTGTGTTCTACTATGGACAGGTGGGGCATCCACCATCCATTTTTAAGATGGACGGTGGAGAAGCCGAGAATTACACCTAAGTGTGTGAAATATCTGAACTATGGTTCATCTTCATCCACTATCATGATAATCTACAGTGTTCATACCTAGGTGTTTCACAGTATTCACATGATGTGCATGCTGTAGTTCCCCATCTCTTCTCTTTAATCTAGTAGTGTTTTATTTTTCATATTTTGGGGATATTGAGATCACTCTATTTGTGTATCAGTCTTCATGCTGCCGATCTTGTAACGAACCAGCTGATGCTCATATTCGCTGTTATACCCACCAGCAAGGAAGTCTCACAATATGTGTCAAGCATTTGCCCTCTTTGAAGCTCCCTGGAGAGCGTGATGGGAAAATATGGATGTGGCATCGGTGCCTCAAATGTGCACACAAAGATGGTGTTCCTCAAGCAACAAGAAGAGTGGTTATGTCTGATGCTGCATGGGGTTTGTCTTTTGGGAAATTCTTGGAGCTTAGCTTTTCAAATCATGCTGCCGCTAATCGCATTGCAAGTTGTGGTCATTCCTTACAGAGGGATTGCCTCAGGTTTTATGGGTGAGTTGTGCCATTCTTTGCAGTTTGAGGCTTTCATTTGTGTTGGTGATTTCTTCCTCATTTTGTAATGGAAGATCTGGTCCTTATCTTATACAGGTTTGGGAGCATGGTTGCATTTTTTCGTTATTCTCCAATTGATATTCTTTCTGTCCATCTACCACCTTCTGTGCTGGAATTCAACAGTGTGGTTAGACAGGACTGGGCCAAAAAGGAGGCTGCAGAGGTACGCTGATAGGATATATTAGCTACATAATTGGGACCTTTGGGGTGACTCGTGATTGTTCTTGATTTATAACTTCGTTTAGAGTTGGAGCAGTAACCTCTCTCTCTCTATATATATACAGGTTATAGATAAAATTGAATTCCTTTATGAAGAAGTTTCTGATGCTCTCGATGGCATGGAGAAGGAATTTGCTGCTTTTGAAAGTGGGTATGAATCTACCAAGGTAATGGAGTTCTATAATTATATAGATGAGTTGAAAGATTTGCTGATAAAGGAAAGGGGCGAATACATGGTAAGGCTCATATAATCTATTTTATGCATAATAATTTGATTTTCGACATGTTTGTACATTTCATATTTTGATATGCAAACATCTATAAAAGTCTGACAGTTAATTTACACTTTAACAGGCATTCTTATATAAGGGAGCAGTCGAGATCTGTAAAACTATGCAGCCAGTTCCAGAGGTTTTGGAGCTCAATCATCTGAGGCGTTGTCTTCTGATCGATTCTTACATGTGGGACCGTCGGATCTGTCTCTTGCACTCTTTATCTGTGAAAAGTAAGTCTGGGTCTGCTTCAAGTCTCAATGGAAATACCAGTGAGACAAGGTTAAAAGATACAGTGGAAACGGAGGTGCCTTGTAGAGATAACAAGCCTGGTATTTCATCAGAAGTAAGTAGTCCAAAGATTTCAAACGCATTGGAGAAGCCTAAAGATAACTTGCTACTTCCAAAACCATCTGAGGAGATGAAGGACTTGATTAACACAGTTGGATCACTGCCAACTTCTAGGGATACTATGGGCACAGTGGATCTTAAGGGACCTTCTTATTGTTCCACTCAGATTGCAATATTGGACTCTAATTCAAGTCCAACAGGAACATTGGAAGGGAAGGGCATTGTTGTAAATACAACTTTGGAGCCCCTTTCATCATTTGCTTCGAATCTTTCTGATAAGATAGATTTGGCCTGGACTGGAGAAGGACAAATAGTTACCCAAGGAGCCTCAAATGGGCATGGAACTGGTCCTGCCACTCTTGGGCCCACGGTTGGGAAAGACCAAATTTCTCAGCGCAAAATCTTGTCGCCTGTAAGAGTTTATTCCTTTGACTCTGCACTAAAATTCCACCCTAGGAGTAAGAAAGGGCCCCTTCATAGTGCCTTGCATCTCTCTTCGACGAGGTCATTCCATTCTTCAGGGGATTTCAGGAGCTTGGTTTGGGAACCAATACCCAAAATCCTGAAATCTTTCTCGAGGGCATCCCCTGGTTCCTTGGAAGCCTTCCACAAATTTGATTTCCTGTTCAGTTATTCACCCTCTGTCATCTCTTCAATTTCACGAATTGTAACTGATGGAGCGAGATTGCTATTGCCTGCAACGAGTCGAAAAGATGTGGTTATTGCTGTTTATGATGGCGAACCCACGAGTGTTATAGCCTATGCGCTTTGTACAAAGGAATATGAGAACCAGTTATCCGATAAGCTTGATGAGATAGAAAGCTCTAAGGAAAGCCATATCGGTACCCATTCTTCTTTTGGGTCAGTTTGGCACTCTGATACCTCCCTTGACACCGATTTTGTTCACCCTAGAAGCTATGGGTCTGAGGAGATATCATCTTTGAAGGGGAGTCCAGTGTCTGATATGGGGAAATCTCCTCTTCATGTCAAGGTCACATTTGGTGATGATTCTTCACTTCCTTCTGGAAAGGCAAGGTTTTTGGTTACCTGTTATTTTGCAAGGCAGTTTGACGCTTTGAGGAGGAAATGCTGCGATAATGAGATGGATTTTTTGCGCTCTCTTAGTCGCAATAAGAGATGGAGTGCACAAGGTGGGAAGAGTAATGTTTATTTTGCAAAGACACTGGATGAGAGGTTTGTAATTAAGCAAGTCACAAAGACAGAGCTCGAGTCATTTGAAGAGTTCGCTCCTGAGTACTTCAAGTATCTCTCTGATGCTATAAGTACAGGCAGCCCGACTTGCTTGGCGAAGATCCTTGGTATCTATCAGGTTGGCATATTTATTTTCTTTCTCTTGGTCAATACTATGTCCATGCTTCTTTCTTTTGTGAAAGTAGATGATAATCCAATGGACTATGTAAACAGTTGTCCGTTGAGTTCATCAGTGTCCATTCATGTGTTGGACAGCGATGTAAAGTTGAACCACTATTTGGTCATGTCATATGCTCTAAAATGTTACAGTGGCAGCTCAGTTTTCTTCTTGTCGCACTTAGAAATGTACCGGCGCTTAGAAACGTATTGACACCCCTAGACACTGGGCCAACAAAGGGTTTGTACATCTCTGAAAAATTTAGAGCCAACATGCTGTCCCGATATGGTTATAAGATGTGTCGTAATAACAATTACGCTATATCCCAATTAATTTTGATAAACATGCTATTCACATTCATTGGTTTTGAACCCATGACCCTTTAATGGGATGTTAAAAGTAGTAGTTACCTTTTCCTCAAAAAAAAAGAAAAGAAAGAAAAAAACACTCCCTTCTATAGGGCATTGTATACAAAGAGACCATTGGCTTTTGTGAAAGGAGGTAACAATCATCCTTGTCCCTTAAATTTCAAAATGGGTGGTTGTACGAGTGTTGTTGAATAGACACAAAGTTCCAAAAAAACAATTCTCAGACTTCGTAACTCATCCCAAGCCATCCAATTTGACGTCTAGTGAGCAAATGTTTGTGAGCTCCATGTACAAAAGATAAATGGTCTCTTTATATAGACAATCTCCTTTTAAAGTATACATATATTTATTCATGCATTATTGTCATATACTAATATTGTCCCTCATGGATGTCACAAAAAATGTCGTCCCACAAGGACTCAAATGTTAATATAGCCACACACTCAAAAATAAAAATCTGATTCCTAAAGTTTAAACGCGTTTGTTTTCTAATTTTAGAAATGTAAACTGCCTTGGAAGAGATTTCAGCTTGCATCCTTCTAGGATAAATATAAAAGGTTCAATCGAAACAACTATAGAAAATGTTTAACTTGCAAATACATTATGCAAAGTATTATTATTAACAAGGTTTAAAAAGCATCATTTTGAAAAATAAAAGGACATATACATTTATTTTTATTTTTAGGTATAAAATAAATTTATTTTCTTAAATTGTCTTTGATTTTTTTAATTTCATTTATTGTTCTTTTGAACTCTTTATATGATTTATGCATAAAACAAGTTTATAAATAAAAAGGTTTATGGATGTGTCATAACCATATTGGTTTTTTAAGCCGAAGTACTAGACACCTGAAACACATGCTAAACACGACACCATTGATGGTGTCCATGCAACACTGATGCTCAAGGGTCTTACTTTATCACTATTACCATTGTTTGGTGGATCCACGTACTATGGTTTTCTAGAAGTCTGTTGGCATGTTGTGTGCTTTCTCTTTTTAGGTATCCCTTTTTCTTCCCTTTTCCTCTACATCACCCTCAATCATTTCACTGGATGGTGATGAACTCATTGCACTACATAGCAAAGTGGATGATTTTATATCTTCATTCTATGTTTTTTAATGTTTTTATTTATGGCCATTCCATCACTGTCCTTTGTTTCATTGGATGGTGGTGAACCCATCAGACTGTGGCTTTCTATGGTAAAGTGGACTACCATATACCTTCACTCTTTTTTATTATGTGGAATCATTTTCCATTATTGAGTGTAGGTAACAGTCAAGAATTTGAAGGGTGGTAAGGAATCGAGGATGGACTTGATGGTTATGGAGAATCTGTTTTATGGGAGGAATGTGTCAAGGGTTTATGATCTCAAGGGTTCTGCTCGTTCTCGTTACAATCCTGAGACAGGGAGCGGAAATGTCCTGCTAGATCAGAATCTGTTGGAGGTGCTCAGGACAAAGCCGATATTTTTGGGCAGCAAAGCCAAGCGCAACTTAGAAAGAGCGGTGTGGAATGATACATCGTTTCTTACTGTAATGTCCCACTTCTTATCTCTCTCACTTTATTTATTTATTTATTTTACTGGTAAAAAAGACAAGGTCAAGCATATTTCTTTGATTGTAGCCTAGTACCCACTTCATATGTGTGTTTGTCTTTATTGTTTATAGCATACTCCCATGGGAGCACACTATATAGCGAAAAGGTCATATGCTCTTGCTGCAGCACATTGTCTATTTACTTTAACCTCCTCAATCTAGCAAGCTACCTGAGGTAAAAATAAAGATGCGCACTCTATATGTCAAGATTGTACTGCATTAGACCATTTACTTTTAGCGCCAGGAGGTCACAATCTCCCCTAGCCATTAGATGCAAAATTCTATAACTTAACATGTGTAACAAAGTTCAAAAATTTTTATTTTGAACCTCAAGCCTAAGTCAGTCAATGGCACAAGCCCAGCTGCCCAATTTTACATCCAATGCCTACGGGGGATTGTGACCTTCTATAAATGGTTTTATTGTATACTTTTCCCTGTATGTGCCCAAAAAAGATAACATCCTAAGCTTAAACAAAGACTATCCAATTTTTGGATGGTTAGAACTAGGTGTTAAGGAACTCAAAATCCATTTTTGTTTTTTCATAAGATAGTCATTTGGTGACTCTAAAGTGGACACCAATGCTTTGAATTAATTTCTTTTTTGTTTTTTTTAATTACGTGAATCTGCCCCCTATTGCAAATTATTTTTGAGTAATTTTAGTTTGTAATATTTTCCAAGTTCAATTGTTTCTGGGAAATTTATCAAAATGCACGCGAGATCAACTACTTAACATTTTACCCATAACTTTTAATTTAATATGAAAATACCCATAAAAATACATATGTTCATGATTTAGGATAGTTGAAAAGGGGTAAACTGTGAAATCAATAAAAGATTAGGTGTATTTTGATAAATTTCCTAATCTGTTTCAAGAAAGTATAATCTGTTAATGGCCTGTGTGTGCTATAGTTAAATTTATTAAAAGTAGACTATCTCATGTAGGATTAATATATTCTGCATGATATTATTTTCTCATCTCTTTGTTCAAGTACCTTATATTATGTATAATATGATTTGGTTAATGTCTAGGTAGAGAGAGTTCTTTTTCATTCATTCTCTGCCCTAGACAAATAGTGCCGGATAGAATAAAGTTATGGAAAAAGTTATGTGGGGTTGCAACCTTAAAATGTAGAACTAAGGTGCACCTAAACAATCCATCATAAAATGTTGCGTTGATGTTGGAAAGCCCACAAACTGATCTTCACAGCATGGAGATGTATGAATATGAAAAGAAAAAAAGATTTCGAGTCCAAAAAATAGTGTATCTTGCAACACATTATCTGGACCGTCCATTTTCAAGATTTTCAAGTGTTTACAGATCTATTTGATTTGAACCATTTTTGGAGTTTTACGATTTTATAATTTATAGATGAAATGGATTCTCAAGCCATCCTAAGAATTTTTGACACCAAAATTATGTTTATGATAAAATTTGGAGGTCGCCTTAATTTGGTTGTTTAAGGTTGCAACCTTATACAAACCACGCCCTAAAGTTATATTGAGTAAATTACAAACAACTTTTAAAAGAGAGCTTAGAAAGTGTCATAAGTTTATCTCAGATATTTTATGCTAGACATACCAAATGACATATAACTCATTATCAGGATTAGTTTTATTGAAACAGCGAAATTGTCGGTACATCCTAACACCCCCTAAGTGCTGATGTGGACAATCATGAGGCATTTGACATTTCATTGGGATTGATGGCTTCATAATCCTAGGCCTTACTTTCTGAGTAACTGTAGTCATGGCCCCTGATAATTGACAATAGGGTGCTTGCCTAGAAACTATTTATAATCAGGGCTGGGGTTGTTGTAATTAAAATAATTATGCTTATGTGAACAGTCTTCACTATATACTAAACAAGGAATAAAGCTGTTGTTTTAGCAGTATTTAGATCTTGCTATTGAGCAAGTTATATAATTATCCTTCTTAAGCCTTCTTTTTTGGTGCCTGCTAACATAATTCATTTGTGTGTGTGGTCTAGTCACCTGACCTGCTAATCCTGTGTATTTTGTGGATTCGTATGTGTGTGTGTGTGTATAGAGAGAGAGGGAGAGGGAGAGGTGCTAAGCATCATTAACTAAATGCTGTTTGGGTTTGGCAGTCTGTAGATGTAATGGATTACTCATTGCTGGTTGGGGTCGATGAAGAGAGCAAGGAGCTGGTGATGGGGATCATTGATTTCATGAGGCAGTACACGTGGGACAAGCATTTCGAGACTTGGGTCAAGGCCTCCGGTATTCTTGGGGGTCCAAAAAATGCTGCTCCTACTGTAGTTTCTCCCGAGCAATACAAGAAGAGGTTTAGAAAGGCCATGTCGACCTACTTCCGCATGGTCCCTGATCAGTGGTCGCCTTAAAAACCTGGACATCAGTCTCCCTCCCCCGAAACTAACTACTTAGCTTTTTCTCTTTTCAACTCTCTCTCTCACACACCAGCTACTTGGTAGATAAAGCACTTTTGGAATTGTTCAGGTTCTTTGACAAATCTGTATAGTAGAGTGATGATGGGTTTTGCCACGATTGGTTAATAACAAGAGCTTGCAAAAGAAGTTCTGCAAGGAGCTCTTTTTATTTGGTGTATCTAGGCATGCCTATGTTGTAAGAGTATGGGTAGTGCTAATATGTTGCAAAGGTGGTCCGTTACGCACCCATTGTGTAAAACAGTTGATCTCTTGAGCATGCAATTGTATTTTGCCCTCTGCATTCAAGAGGGAGGGACCCCATTTTGTAACTTATTTTAAGTTGCAGGGTTGAAGCGCTATTTTTCTTCTCCAAGCAAGTAATCAATGGCATGAAGTTGGGCTTTTGTTGATTTTCGTTATGGATCGTGAACATGTATTTCCGTAGGCCCCATTTGAATTGGAGGATTCTTCAATGGTACCATGAAGTTTTATAAAATTTCTGGTATCTTTCCATTCAATGGCCAGTGGATTCCTTGATTCTATGTTGGTTTATTGAAGAAAGCTACATGACTTTTCTTCAATTTAAAACCCTCTTTTCTAACATGTTTCCTTTTTATGGTATGTTATTTGATTTTGAAATAACGGAAGAAACGTCTCTTTACACCATTCTGTCTCCTCTCTAGACCTTTTCAATCCATCCCACCACATCAATCTCTATCCCTTCTTTCCATGCCTTTTGCAGTCTCTCTCGTCCCATACCTCTACCCCTTTTTCCGTTCTCTCCCGTCTCTCCACGCCTTTCTCTATTTTATCCCTTCTCTGCAACTCAGGTCACCTATTTCCACGCTTTTCTTTACCTATCCTTTCTGTGTACCTTTACAACTGGTCATCACCTCTTGCTCTCACCTAAGGCCTCTCCTTCTAATGGCATATTTCCTATCTAGGGTCATCCCAAAAGCACAGCCCTCTGCAAAACCATTAACCCCTCTCATTCTCAACCACTTTTCATGGCATCTCCTCAACATCCCTCTCTCTCTCTCTCTCTCTCCTCTTTGTCAAAGAAGATACAAGAGATGGGATTGGGGTGGTCCTGGGGGCCACACTATCAGGGAGAGGGTAATTGTCAACATGTGAGATAGGGGGAGTGGTCTCTATCCAACTTTTGCTTCCCTGCCAGATTGGAACCTCAATCAAACGGCCCTTAAGCCATAGTTTCAAAGACTTGTCCAGCCTTCTTCATGCTTACCTCCACTTCGACATGGGGTCTCTCCCACCATACTTGTCTGCACCTTGGATTGGTAGTTGGCTGTTGTTGGCGTAGTTGGTAGATATATCGTCCCCAGTTGCGCTATGTTCCCAAAAGTTCTCTCTCTCTCTCTCTCTCTCTTGGTAACCAACCACCTTGGGCCTCCTACTCCCACCACCATCTACTTGTGCCTCATGCATCCCTTCCTAATTCACTGCCTCACTTCCAGGTTGTCAATCCCATGTAAAACCTCTTTCTTCTAGGAACCACCCTCCTTTTCACTACTAGTTACTCCAGCTCATCCACCATTTCTCTGCAAGGCCTTTTGATCAGATTATACTAACTATGCTCTCTCCTTATGTACCTCTTCCTTGGTATTGTAATTGACATGCAGTAGGTTGTGCAACCTGTGTCTTCAACTTATTCCTCCTTGGAGTATAGATCCAAGGGAATGTATCCCAGTGTCTCGCACACACTGTAATAGAATACGTGTGGTTTAAGATCCTGATTGTAATCAATTGTAAGTGGGGGAATACGCGGTCTCTATAACTCCCATCATTTTAGTGAAAGGCAATAAGAAGTAAAATTCATCAGTGGATTAAAAATTAGAAGTACAACCACCGTATTATGACATTGAAAAATATTAACTCATGAAGTTTAGTTGCAAACGTAGCTCTAATTCTTCTTAGAGGAATAGTCTTTATCCCACATGTGCTTCCCTGCCTGATTATAATATCATTCAAACTGGCCTCAAAAGCCATGGTTGCAAAGACTCGTCCAACCTTCTTCATGATCACTCCCACTTCCGCATGGGATCTCTCCCTCACGAACTGCGTTATAATTGTCTGCACCTTGGCTTGGTAGTTGGCTACGAAGCAGTGGCTAAATGGCAGTGTGACCCAGGAGCACCCCGATCCCTGCTCCTGGCTTAGGAATTGGTTCCAATCTGCCACGTAGCCTCTGCTTCACTAGAAGAGAAGATCCCCAATTGTCCCAGGTACCATTTGACTCTCTCTCTCTCTCTCTCCCCCTTGCGCCTTTGCCTCCAATTCCTTTCCTTAACTGCACAAACAACACACACCCCTGCTCCTCATTCCTTGCCTTCAAGCCCTCCCTCTGTCTAAACCCAAGCTCAAATGCAATTCATGCATAGGACATCACTGTGGAAGCTCCAACCTCCGATAACCACCACTTTGTTACATCAAAATTGTGAACTCCATCACTATGAATCAAGGTTTCAAAACTTGGCTTGTGCTAGGGAATCTGGCACTGCCTGAGCTCACTAACTAAGGCAAGTCTGAGCTGAATACTGAGCAAGTCCACCATGGCTCGAAAAAAGTAAAAATAAATTTAGGAAAAATTCCAGAAAAACATATAGATTATAATTAAATGAAATTTTTTTATAATCAAGCCAAATTAATATTATAAAGAGACAAATTGTGCAAAAAAAAAAAGTGTACAATGACTCTGAAATAGAAGCTGTGAATTACAAGCTCATAGAGTAAATGTTCAAGAAATACAAGTTCATCACATATATCATCAAATACAACAAAATATAAGAATACGGCCCCGAGCAATCCTTCTAGTCGGGATCGTGGCCATCCAGATAATCATTCTTCTTGGTCAGGGGCAGCTGGGCTGCGATTGGTAATGGCACAACCAGAAGAGGGGTGGGGGAGACAAGGATACCTGCTGGGTAGCGCAGCGCTCGGGTACAGAGGCGACTAGGGCTGGCCACCCTGTATAGATGGTAGGAGTGTCAATGGGGATCGGGATGCTTCTGGGTAATACTATTAGGTTGAGGTTGCCAATTAAATGTGAGATAGAGGGAGTAGTCTCTATCCCACCTGTGCTTCCTTGCCAGATCAGAACCTCAATCAAATTGGCCCCAAGCCATAGTTGCAAAGACTCATCCAGCCTTCTTTATGCTCACCCCCACTTCGGCATGCGGTCTCTCCCTCGCTAACTGCACCATACTTGTCTGCACCTTGGATTGGTAGTTGGCTATGTCGCTGGCTTAGTTGCTAGATATGTCATCTCCAGATGGGCTATGCTGTCAATAGCTATACGTCTCTCTCTCTCTCATCTTGTAACTGACCACCTTGGGCTTCCTCCTCAATTGTGCTCCCACCACCATTTTATTCCTCACCACCATCCAATAGTTGTGCAGCCTCTCTGTCTTTAGCTTATTCCTCCTTGAAGTATGGATCCACGAGAATGTACTCCAATTTCTCTCACACTCAGTGGTAGAATAACTGTAGTTTAAGATCCTCATTGCAACCATTTGTAAGTGGGGGTTACACAGTCTCTAAAACTGTCACCATTTTGCTCATGGGCAATAAGAAGTAAAACTCATTAGTTGATTAAAAATTAGAAGTACAAACACACATACTAGTTACATTGGAAAATACTAACTCATGAATTTTGTTAGAAACATATCTCAAATTCTTCTATAGTTTTTCTATCCGTGTTGGACTCAAAATAGTCTCGAGCATCCATATGTTCAAAAAGATGAAAAAGAAAATTCAAGTTAATTTACACACTACAACTAACTAAATAACAATAATGTTTGACTTTAAAACTCATTAATAAAAGCTCACCTTTCTCATGATACGAAGTTGGACCCGCTGATCAGGTTCCAATCTCTCTATACAGTTACATCACTTTTTTTATGATATCAGCATCAGCCTTAACTTTTTTTGTAATAATAATCCAAGTTTAACAAAGTGCATGCATATAGTGTTAATATAAATATAAACTCACTAACACAAATCACAAAATAACTAAAATATAAAGTAGAATTATAAATATATAATTTCTTGCCTCATAGTATAGCTGGTTGCCAAGTTGGGATGGATGCACTCCCAAACCTTTTCACGGAATTTGCAATTTCCATCAATGGCTTATTTTTCTTAGAGTAATAACTAATAAAGGAATTCCACGAATAGCTTAAGATCGACATCGACTATATTCAAAAGTCAATTAAATTCAACATTGACCATATTCAGTACCTACACAAGTGGAGTGGTAGCCCAAACAACTTCATTACATTTAACCCCCAAAATTTCTGACTTCTAATGATACTATAAACCTCCTAGTCAGATTCCTAGCAAAAGATGGCGATAAACATTCCTCTTATGCCACCATTTGCTTCAATCCTGATTGCTGCATCAGGATCGACTCTATTGTGAAATATGATGTGGCAAACCTCGTAATAGCAAACATGATGAGCTCTCGATCACAATGTTTTCTCATTTAGCTAATGACATGTTGTGCCGTTGCATATAAATTTTTTGTGATTTTTTTCCTTAGTAACATAACTACTCACCAATAACCTCCAGCACGAGATTTATACAGTAGGCATCATAGGGACTCCAAGCTAAATGCTTTCTTTTGTATAAGAAAACTCCTTCCTTCACATTACTTTCTAATTATTTGTAATCAACTGCATCATATTTTCTTCCCCAATGTCGTACTACATATTAAGCAACCTAAAAGGAGCTTTCCAGTCTTCTGCTTGTGGGATATATCTACAATGGAATGGAAAAATGTGCTTTGAGGCAATAGATCAAGAAATTAACTATGTGCCTCACTTGTCCATCCTTCTAATAATCTTGACAATTGTGACCACAGGTTTAGCCCACGACTGCTTAAAATATTGAAGAAATAAATTTACTTTAACCACCTCTTCATCTTAGCATTTTCTTTCATGCTGACTTGTAATTGGGCACTTTAATCCTAGCCTTGCGTCAGCCATATCAGATATCATAGCTTGATAATATTTAGAATTAGTGACATTAAATTAAATGGTGGTTTGTAGTCACCCTCTTCACCTTGTCCCTGATTTTTGACGCCCATTAGGAATGAAAGGTCATTTGGTGATATTAGAGTCCAATAATACACCAAGCTCAACTTCAACCATGGTCGAACCTAGTCAAATGGCTCATTAACAACGTTCCTACCCACTATCACATTTTGTTTCATCAACCATAGTTACCAACATCCAATTCAAGCACCATTGACTCACCCATCAATCATTTATCCACCAGCTAGCCAACCTTGGTAGGAAGCAACCCAACCGCTCAGTCAGTCTTTGTTGATCCGACTTAGTGAGAAAATATGGAGGGAACCATCGAGGATTTCCAAAAAACTCTAAAAAGGATG